CATAGGGAATAGTGGGCACATTGCTTCTCTGATGGGGCAATTCTTCTGGCATTTCAGAAGAGGCCAGAAATCTGATTTTTTCGGCGCTATGCTTCACTACTGAAAGGTGGGTGGCTGGCAGAGGCATGCACTGTCCCTAGAATGCCCTCTGCAGATAGCTGGGGCCATGGGCCTCATTCTGACCACCAAGTTGCAAACAAAAGTGCTGTGGGTGCCTTCCAGGCCAGCACCTTTAAGGGCCAGCTCACAAGCCTCCAGTTCTCCTGTCTCTGCTGTGGTGGCTCAGAAAGCCACGTGTTTCAACTGTGCAGCTACTTGATGGTCAGCCTGGGTCCCTGAGTGACTGTGGACCTGAACTGTCTGCCAACCCACACTGGATATGGACTGAGAAAGAGAAAGAAGCCTCTGCCAGGACAAGCCACTGGTGTATCAGGGATTTGTGTAGCATAACCCAGACCAGCCTGACTCATGGAATACATAATCCATTAAAACAACATATTGGGGCCGGGCACCGTGGCTCACACCTGTAATCCCAGCACTTTGGGAGGCTGAGGCAGGTGGATCACCTGAGGTCAGGAGTTTGAGACTAGACTGGCTAATGCGATGAAACCCCATTTTTAGTAAAAACACAAAAATTAGCCAGGTGTGGTGGTGGGCACTTGTAATCCCAGCTATTCTTGAACCTGAGAGGCAGAGGTCATGCCACCGCACTGCAGCCTGGGCAACAGAGCAAGACTCCATCTCAAAAACAAAACCAAAAACAAACAAAAAACCCCCATATATTTAATGTAATATTTTATATTTAATTATATTTATAAATAAACCAAACACCTTTGCAAGACAGATATACCTAGTCGTGAGACAGGAATAACATAGATGGTCACAGGAGAACAGAAAATTCTAGGCAGCCGTTTCACACGACCAGCAAAAGGAAACTTAAAATTGGGGTCATAAGAAGCTAGGGGTCATAGGACCTTAAAAAAGTCAGAGCGTGGGCCAAGCTGGCTACACCGACTGAACCCAACATGGCACTGGATTTGACCTAGGTTTCTCCAGGACCTCACTAGATGCCCGTTAACGGGGCAACTCTCCAAGATGCTAAATCACACACCCACAGGCACCATGACAGTTCTGGAACACCCATATTTTGTGTAAAAATGGGTGGCACCACAGTTTCAAGAAAGTTCCACCTTTTTCCAGGAATCTTCTTGGATATGCCATCCCTTGGTTAAAGAAACCCATCAAGGCAGCAGCTCCCAACTCCCTTGCACACTCCCCCTTCTTGAGTGTGTGCTTTCACTGTTTTCTGACTCGTATGAGAAGGTATTCAAGGAGTCGAGAGTCTGGACACCAGCTGGGGTCGAAGTCCCACCAGTGTTTGGGGCCCCCCGAGCCCACTGGTATCTGTAGGGCTCCAGGTTATGACTTCTGATTCACAACACAGCATGGTTTACATTTACTTCTGGTCTCCCACAGCGTGTGGGGAAGAAGTTGATTTTGCCATATGTAGTAGGAACACCTAGAAGCGGAATTTCCCATAAGTCAGGCAGTGGTTACTTATTCATAGAAGATGCTTCCTGAAGAGCTCTGGGGTGCTTAGTTGCAAGCCTTCTCTTCTCTGGGCCTTCATTTTCCCAGCCGTACAATAGGAATATTGACCTTCAGTGGGTTTGAAATTTTCTTAACTGTGGAAAATTTATGCAAAACAGATTAAAGGGGGTTGCCATGGTTGACAGTGAGGTGGTGGCAAGGAGCCTCATCTCCAGGGCTCTAGGTAATACTACTTGAAAGGCAGGGACCTCCCTCGCTGGCCTTCAGGGGTGCTTTTCCCTGCACACTTGCTTATTTACAAGATGCAGCTGACATGCTGAGTGTCTCCAGCCATGACTGGATGGCATGAGCTGGGGGCGGCTGCTTAGAGAAGAGAACCCAGGAGGAAAGTAAAGGAGAGTGCTAGACTGCAGATGGCAAAGTGAAGGGATAAAGGGGAGGTGGGCTTGTAGGGTAAACAGCAGGGGCAGAGAATGGGGCACAGCAACCCAGGGGAGGGCAGGGGAGTCAGGGAGCAAGGCTAAGGGAGGTGGCATAGGGCTCACGCAGCAAAGGGAGGCTCTTCCAGCTTGCTGGGCTGGGTCCTGAGCCTTACAGGGTGGGCACCTGGGCTCCGCACAAAGACAGTCTCTCCTTGGAGAGAGGCACTCAATAGCTTCATGGCCGTAAGCAAGCGAAGGAGATAAGAATATTTTATCCCCAACATAGACTTTGACATATTTTGAAATCGCTGCCACTCGCCCGTTCTGAAAGACGTGGTTGGTAGAGTGTCTCCAGTGGGAAAGTTTGCATCTGTAGAGAATCTCCATTAAAGCAGCCAGGCCCCTTCTCTTTTCCAGGCCTTTCCCCACATCCAGGAGAGATTGAGTCCACACCTTCAAAAGTCTCTCTGATGGAGGCTTCATCTACATAACAAGGTCACTTTCACTAGTCAAGCATCTCTTCCTCCCTAGTCTGTTTCACCTGACTCTAAGCCCCTATTCTTTCTGTAACCTCAAAATGGTACATAAGTCTCTGTAACTCACTGGGAAGCTGGGGCATCATTCTCCAGGCTCCCATGCATGCACCTTAAGAAAATGTGTGTGCCTTTTCTCCCATTCATCAATCGGCCTCATGTGGGCGATTTTTAGTGACACTCAAAGGGGCCAAGAGCCTACGGCTCCAACAAAAGTTACTTGGTCTCTCTGGCTCTCCCACCCCTCCACTGCAAGAAGACAACACCTGGTCTCTCTGAGCTCTAGGATCACTCACAGAATTCCACTGCAGATCTCAGCATTGTGTTTGCAACCCATCCCCTTTATCAGACTTTCATTCATTTTGATGAATTTCATTCGTTTTGATGTCGCAGGGTGAGTTCTACAGTGAGCTGCACAAGTATCTAAGAGGTGTCTGAAAGACAGCTGTAGCAGGAGCAAGCTGCAAGGGGGAACATGCACACTCAACAGGAGAGGAAAGGGAGCCATCTCTCCATTTGGAGCATTTTCCTGGAACAGCCTTTTGCATTGACTCTCCAAGTGCACAGGGCAGGGCCTTTGAGAATCTCTACTGGAGTATTTTTCAATCTTTTATAAACAGCAGAACCTTATCTTGAAACTAGATCCTAGGCAGAAGCCCGCTATACAAATGGATTAAAGTGAGGCTGCATGGGTGGCAGCAGGAGTCAGGAGAGGATGGGCTGGGGCTGGCCTGCCACCCAGGCTCAGGCTCAAAACCACAGTGACAGATGCAGTTGGACAGGCCAAGTCAGCCAGCAGGCCCTCCCTTCCCCCCAGCCCTGCCATTCTGCTGGGAAAGTCCTGCCTTCTTTGTCCTGGCCTTCCCGCCTCCCCCAGGCCCCAGGACACAGTCAGGCCTCCACGCCTGTTTCCCAGGCTGGAGGACACTGTGTCCCCACTGGAGTGCTCAGCTGTAGCCAGGGCTCTCTGCGCTCCAGAGGAGGGCCCTGGGCAGCTTGCTAGCCACGGCTACCTGACCCAGTGAACAAGCAGTGAGTTGTTCTCCCTTTCCACTTCAGCAGCTGCTCTGCCAGCCGTGCAGGGAAAGCTTACAGCCAGCACCAAGGCCTGCTGTCGCTACTGAGGGACAAAGGTCTCTGAGAGCTTTACAGCTGCTAGGCATGGGCCGTCTTTCCTTTTTTGTGTTTGTGGGTCCAGGCATTACAGAAGAAGGCGACTGATTCTTCCAGTCACCCCCTGGGCCCAATTCCTACAAGCCAGTGGCAAAAGGAGCAGGGATGGCGAGTGAAGTAAGGCTTTCGTGACATGAAACTAAGTCCATCTGAAAGCCTTTTATTTTAAGACTATGTGCTGCCTACTTTTCCATCTGACAGTGTCCCTTCTTACAGAAAATGTGGCCCACATAGATGGTGTTGTACTCACTTGGCAAAAGGGAAAACGTATGGGCATCCAAATTAAAATGTTCTAAGCATGTCTGTGAAGTCTGAGAGCTTGGTTACCTCTGCTTTAACATTTCCTGAAATTGTGATTTTTATTTTCTTATTTCAACATGATTTAAATCAAATAGCTCATAAAGACAGTGACCTGGGAAGCAAAAGAAAGGAGGTCAGGGTGTGGAGCACAGTTGGAGGCCTGAACTGCTCCCACTGGAGGAGGATGGCAAGTGCAGGCCATGCTGCCAGCATTCCTGGGGGGACTCAGTTCCCGCTGCAGCCCGTGACTACCACATTTGAATGCCAGCCACAGTGGCAGCAGGGCACTGAGGACAATGAACCTTTAAAAGGGCCCTCTTAGCACCTGTTAGCCAGCAAATGGCAGAAGCCTGGCCGGGGAAGAAGCTGCAGTATCTGCGGCACCAGGTGCCTCTGAGGGGGTCCCCTCAGCCAAGAATTTTTGTGGTGAGAACTAGCTGTGCAGTTGTAGATGGCAGGGCAACGACTCAGCAGCTGCCACTCCCACCTCCTTCCACACTGCTGTCCCCTCCTGCTGGCCAGTTCTAATCACCAGACCTCTCCTCTCCACTCCCACCATCACTCCTCTGGCTCGACTCACTCCTGCCTGCCCCAAAGACTCTGCACTATCCAGGTGGAGGTGATGGGGGCAAGGGAAGTCCAGAAGAGGTGGGCACAGATCTCCCTTCCACCTCCACTCCTGCCTTGCTGGGCTGACCACACAGGCCTGGCTCAACTTTACTCCCTGCCAGTCCTGGGCTGTCACTGATGGGTCTCTAAGTCCAATCCAGCATCCAGACCTCCCTGATACAGCTCCCCTTTCTCTAAGAGCCTGGCTCTGAGCACCCATGCAGATTGCAGACCAGTCTTCCCAGTGGGCAAGACTTCTGGCTTTTGCCCTTGTTTCAAGGCAAAGCACTTTAGGACAAGAAAACAATTTCCAGTCCTCCTGCTCCCCCTTACACCTTAAATATACATTCCCTGGCCCTGGAACCCTCTGAACCACTCCAACTTCCCCACCAAGCAGGCTCACTTCCCATCTATGGAAGAGGGGATCCACAGAAACAAAGATCTTCTCAGCTATGGTTTTCAGGCCAAACAGGTGCTCACAGTGGGCACTGGCCAACATCCCGATTGCCTGGGGCTGGGAGTGCAGTGCAGAGGCGCAGACCCCTCTGGGTGCCAGCTGCTGCAGGGCTGCCCTGGACGCTCTGATGACTGCCCCTACCTGTGCTATCCACTGCCCCAGGCCTGTGTGCCACATGTCGCAGCTGGGGGCACAAAGGTCCTGTGAGACACAAGGGTCTCAGAATCTCTTGGATCATTGAGTCCTTTGGAGTCTCTTGAAAGCTTAGTGCAACTCACCCGAGAAAATGCATGTGTGTGCACATTGTTGCAGTCTGCATGCATGTGCATACACATATACACACACACACACACTTTGCATACAACTGCAGGGGGTGAGACAGCTCTTGTCCATGTCTCCCAGATCCCCAGATCCCAGGTTTAGAATCTCTGCAGAAACATCACAGCAAGAAAGAGGAGTGTCATAGAGGCTTGCATGTGAGTTTTGCTGTGGCATCGATTTGGTCTGTGACTTCTCTTGGTCCTCACTTTAGCCAGAGCTGTTGTGGCAGCTGGTATACTGAATGACACCCCACCCCTGCTTCCCAAGGCCAGGCAGGGCAAAGGGAGGGGGTACCAGGTCTCTTCCTCAGGAGTAGATCCTAGGGAAGAGGGTCAGACGGCCAGAAAAGGGGACCCCAGGAACTACAAGTTTCTCTTTAATAAAAAGAAAACTGCTGAAGCTTTAGGAAGTACAGCCACTTCCTATTTGATTTTTATTTACTTTAAAACAATTTCTCCAAATGTACTCTGTGAGAGAATAACCATCTAGCCTTTGCAAGCTTCTGGGTTCAAAGCCCTGCTCTGTGATTATCTGGCTGTGTGACTTTAAGCAAGTCACGTTCCCTCTCTGAACCTTGGACTCCTCATCAATTAAATAATTATCATCCTCAATGACTTTTGTGAAGACGAATGAGGAGACCTGTAAGATGGGCCTTGTATGAGGCTCACCCTAAAAAAAGGAAGCTCCCATTACTATTCTTATTGACACTGGGAGTCGGGGGATCTGGAAAGACAGGTTCCCAGAGATGGGAATGTGAGGCCTCCCAGCAGGACTGGCCATGAGTGAGGAGAGAGTCTGAGTTGACCCCCGAAACCAGGCCCCAGGCCCCAGGGATCCAGGGCAGAGGGCTTTCTGGCAGACCCCCTAGTTAGGGTCTCTCCTTTGAGGCTTTGCACTTTTAGAATCTGAACTCTGACACACACCCAAGTTTCATTCATGTTCTTTATCTGTCATGGTCCACTTGGTCCTGACCCAGGGGGATCCTGGACCTTGATTCTGTTCTCGACCTCCAGGCCACTCACTGGAGTGTCATGGTGGAAATACAGCTCCATCTCTTGAATTTCAGATGAACTCTTTAATCTGTGGCATCAACCTTTTTATTATCAAATCACCAGCACTACACACAGAGAGAATTATGGCTAGAACTAATGACAATGGCCTTCACATACACTGACAAAGTGCTGAAACAGTCCATGACAATTTCCAGCCAGCATTTTTTAACCTAAGTTTGATGAGTTTCATCTCTCCTCTTCTCTCCCTTCCTCTTTCTCCCCTGACTCTCTCCCTCCCTCTCTTCTCCTCTAAGCTCCTGTCTTGGCAGCGGTAGCTAAGGACCCCCACAGAAGAACAGAAGGCAGGAGGGTCTACATTTCTCTGTTACTTCACTAATTCACTTCTAACTTTTTTTTAAATGGTTTCTGGCAACAAATCCTGATTGGCACCTTAGTACTATGGGCAGTTAAACTACAGCAAAGCCAGTGAGGGTCTCCTCTGTGAGTGCACAGCATGACTTTGTAGTCTAACCTGCTTGGATTCAAATTCCAGAATCCCAGCCCTTATTTGCTATGCGACCTTATTTAATTCCTATGTGAAATGGGGCTCCTGAAGCTCTTCTTATGGTGTTTTAAGAAAGTGCTGGCCTGGGCCTGGGCACTGATCCTGGTGTGAGAGGAGGCCTCACTCCCTCGGCCATGCTAGGTTAATGAAAACACTGGGACATCTTTTGGAAGTGGGAAGTGCAGGACCGGACCAGTGCCAGGAGCCCAGAAGAGCTGGGCAGCAGGCAGGCTGAGCTCCAGGGACTGGAGGTGAAGAGCAAGAGACGCGGAGGCACAGCAAGCACTGGTTTCAAATCCTAGCACCACCACCAACTCATTCAGTAAAGGTGGACAATTTCATAACTCTTTAAGCTTCAATTTTCTCATCTGAAAACGGGATAACGAAAGTAGGAATCTCACTTGCTGTGAGGCGTAAGAGGTATATCGTATTAAAAGCACTTGGCCCAGCACAAGGTAAGCCCTCTGCAGACAGCGATTGTGAGACAGACCCCTGCTGCTGTTATCTTAGTCCTGGATTTCCATCAGTGAAATCAGAGTTGTGCCAGAGGCCTCTAGGCTCTCTCCTCAATTCTAGGATCAGTGTTTCTAGGAAACTGGCTAAGGGCAAGGTGAACAAAAAAGGTGTAGCCAGTGGCCGTGCTCACCTGCCGTGCTCAGGTGTAGCCCTTAAAGTGCCAGGCGCAGTGCCCACTCTCAGCAATGGGCCCGAGGCCCGCAATGCGCCAAGTTGGCAGGGGGAGGGACCGTACGCGCTGCGGCCGAAGGGCACAAGTGCCCAGGCTCCAGCGTCCCTGCCTGGTGGTAGTCCCGGGTGCTCCATGGACGCCCACGCACTCTCCTGCTCGTGCATCACTCACCGTTCAGTCATCGTGCAGTCCAGAAGCCACTGGTTGTGTCGTGCCCTCGCTTGCTCCGGAGCTGCGCCCACAGCGCCTGCTGCCCCCTGGTTTCAGCGGCTCGGGGCCAGGCCCGCCCCTCTCCCCGCCTCTCGCTCCGCACGGCCAATGGCGCCGCCCCAGCCTCTCCGTCCTACCCCGGACACGCCCCTCACTCCGCACTGGCCAATGGCACCGCCCAGTCCGCCCCGCCCCGCCACGCCCCGGGAACACTGGTAGGTCCGGGAGCCGGGCGGTGCCCTAGGGGCTGCAGGGAAGGTTTGGGGCGAGCGGTCTGTCAGGTGTCCCCAGGCCACTGCTCAGGGAGCCGCGCGCCTCCTAAGTTCTCGAGGGAGCTCCGGGACGCGCGTAGAAAGCAGCCGGAGTCAGCCCCGAGGGGTTCGGAGTGCGGGCGGCGGCCAGGGACTTTGCGGGTAACGCGGACTCCTGGACTGCCAACAAAGGGCGCTGCGCAGGCGCTGCATTCACTGCAGTCACTTGTATGCATGCCTGGTGGGGCGTGGAATCTGGGGACGCTTATCGGTAAACCCGGAGCTTTTGTTATTTATTGCTTAAGGAGCACCTTTGTACAGTCTGGCTGTTTGCTTGGCATGGCCTAAGAACTCCTTATCGTTTAAGAAATCCGATCTGGTGAATAAGAAGTTAGTCTTTCCCAGTCACCGCCTCTTGGACGAAGAATCGCCAGCACGGAGGCAGAGAAGACAGAAAACCACAGGCCATTTGGGGAACTGAGTCCAGCTCAGTGTTTCTGGGGTGTGGGGGTGGCATGGCTGGGGCTGGGGTTGGTGGAGAACTTTATCTCACCATTCCCAGCTCTGACCTCTGGACCTGTTCTCTCCTACCCCTAACATAAATCGTTTTAGTTTCATTCAATGTACGTTTCCTATTATTTTTAGGGTCTCATGGCCATTTTGGAATCTGATATGGATCTTTTAGAAAATGCAGGTGGCTACATGCACCAAAGTCAGCCTGGGATTTGAGTCTCATGGGTCCCTGAACCCCGACTTAGAGGGGCTGTGCCAGTGCTTGTATGGCTGCTGTCTGACCTAAGTTGCAACACCCACCTGCAAAAAGTGACAGGACTGAAGATGTCCAGTCTGGAGGCCTTTCCATTTCTGCTTTTGCTTGAATTTTTGGAGAATGGTCCATCCTTTGACAGCTCTGAGGGTCCCTGCGGTTGGTGACTTGTCATGACACATTTGCTCTTCCACAGCCTAGGCAGACCTCTTCAAAGCTGAGACCAATAATTGAGTGCTTCCAAAAGGTTTTTAAAACAGTAGGTAAAATTCAATACAGCTGTCAACTTCTGAGCATGAGATCCTAAGAATTTAATCACTCCTGATAGGAGAAGTAAACGTAGCACCAGGGAGACATCCGGTTTCCCTGGGCTTTCCGGAGCTCGAGCATGAATGACTCTCTCTGACCTAGTTAATGCTATTCACAGGGCCAGGACTGGCTCTGAGTGAGGACTGAGTTTGGGACAGCAACCCCATGTGTCCTGTGCAGGCACTGTGGCTCAGACACTATGCTGGTGCTTTACACCCGGATCCCATGCAGTTTCCTCAGCACTCCTGGGCAGTTGGTATTACTGTTTGCATTTTTAAACAATTTCCATTTTGATTTTAGATTTAGGGGATACATGTGCAGGTTTGTTACAATTGCACATTGTATAGTGCTGAGGTTTGCACTTCTACTGATCCTGTCACCCAGGTAGTGAGCATAGTACCCAATAGGAAGTTTTTTACCCCTTGCCTCCCTCTCTCCCTCCTGCTTTTGGAGTCCCCAGTGTTTGCTGCTTTTATCTTTATGTCTAGGTGAACCTGATATTTAGCTCTTGCTTCTAAGTGAGAACATGTGGTGTTTGATTTTCTATTTCTGCACTGGTTTGCTTAGGATAATGGCATCCAGTTGCATCATGCTGCTGCAAAGGACACAGTTTTAGTCTCTTTTATGGCTGTGAGTGCTTGCATTTTACATTGGACACAGGTGTCTGGTCACCTTTTCTTTCGGGTTCAATAGAACTGGGTGTGGTCTCCAGCTCCCATATGGTAGAGGCTGCGGTTACTGTCGGTTGCCAGCCAATGTCCATTCCCTTCTTTGGAAAAAAGAAAGAAAGAAAGAGAGATAGGAAAGAAGGAAAAGGACAAGAAGGAAGGAAGAAAGGGAGAGAGAGAAGGAAGGAGGGTGGGAGGAAGGAAGGAGGAAAGAGGGAAGGAGGGAGGGAAAGGAGAGAGAAAAAACAACTTGTCTGTAGCAGCAACATGCCAGCCCCTAGTTATGGATCATGCCCCGTAGTGGGTCATGAAATTAGTTTAGGGGATGATATGACTAGTACTTAAAAAATGGAAGAGAAAATATCAGTGTATAGCACAAATAGTAAATATAAGTTGTGTTTTATGGAACTTTTTGTTTGCATTATGTTTCAGTTATGTGTGCTTCTCACTGTGGGTTACAGATAAAGTAAACAGCTGTCTAAGTCAGTCTTGACAATCCTTTTTGTAGCTTTTTTCAGCTTCTTTTGAAGCTAGAAGTGGCCATAAGACCTACTTCTAGGCATAGAGACAGGGGAAAGTGTACTGGGGGAGGAGAGATTTGAGGGATGGTGGAGATAATTTTTGCTTTCCTGGTAGAAAGAACAGATGTCTCTCTTGCCTGCCTGTCTCATATGGGGACATGATATGTAATGTCTGGAGCATTGGCAGCCACATTGAGATCATAATGCAACATGTCTGCATGCTGAGGCTGGCAGAGCATAAAGATCAAAGGTGTCTGGATCCCTCTTAACATCATGGAGCTTCTGCACCATCCCTGCACTGCCTACTCCAGACTCCCTAACATGGAGAAAAATTAGCCCCTATTTCTTTAAGGCAGAGGTGGTAAACCTTTTCTATACAGGGCTGGATAGTAAATATTTTAGGCTTTGTGGGCTAAATGGTTTGTGTCACAACTACTCACCACTACTGTGGTAGTTTGAAAGTAGCCATAGACAATATGTAAACCAAAGGACATGGCTGTGGTTCTCAGAAAACTATTTTTAAAAATGGGTGGCAGGGCTGTAGTGTGCCAACCCTTTCCCTAGATGATCTTGTCCCCTGATTGTCTCTCTGAGCTTATCTCCTCCTACTGCCTCTCCTTCTCCCTGCTCTGGTCATACTGTGTCTCCCACACACCCAGCCTGTTGCTGTCTCAGGGTCATTCCTTCCCTTGGAGGGCTCTTACCCCTGAAGTCCGCAGTGTGGCCTCCTTCCCCTCCTTCAGGTCTTTAATCACAAGTCACCTCCTCCTTAAGGCCTTCCCTGCCCCCTCCCTGACTCGCACATACCACTGTGGCATGCTGTATATTCCACTTCTTTATCATGAACTCCTAGAGGAAGGGACACTATGTTTCCTTAAAAACTGATTCTGTCTGGATTGTCACAGTGTTTAATCAATATTTGATGTATGATTGATTTTCTTTTCTTTTTGCCAAATTCAAGTAAGAAAACAGACTCAGGGAGGCCGAGTCCTCCCTCCAAATGACATGTGCAGATAGTGGTAGAGTCCAGGTTTGTGCCTGGTGGCCCCATGTGCCACTGGGGAGTAAGGGAAAACATCTACCTCTAATGGAACACACTGGGTCTCAGGGGAGCCGAGGCCACACAGAAGTTCCTGTAAGACTCCTTGCCCCAGGGCGTCACCCCAGTGAAGGAGGCCTTTGGGAATGCATTAAGTGAGCAGGGCATCCTGTTCATCTTGGGCAATTGCATTCTTTTTGGCCTTCCTCAGAAAGACTTAGGAAATGCCATTATTCTGCAAGCAGTTCAGACTGACTTGTAAGATCCGTACAAAGACAAATGGAAACACTCATGAGCCAGTGTTTTTATGAAAGATCCACGGAGGATAAATTCATGTTTGATTTGCAAGTAGGGAAGCTCATAAGAGCCTAAGAGCCTGATAAAACCTACCAGACCCGTCTGTCAGGCAAGGCCACTAGGCAGGCTGCTCTGTGGGATTCTGGCTTGAGGCATCTTGGCACCAGGGCGCAGCTTCCAAAGACCAAAAAATTACCTTCTTTCCTTTGCTGCTTCCAGGGGGAAATGCCTGGGTACAATCATATGTTGTTGATATGTAATTTAGATTTTGGAGTCTTGAAAAGCAAGTTTATATATCTTGATGTAAATGATATTAATAATGAGAACCATCTTCAAGCTATTCCCCTAAAACAGAAAATGGGATTTTGAATTAATTATTGATTGATCTGATTGATTCCTTAAGGCCTTTTATAGATGGCTTTATGTGATTTTTCCCCCCTTCATTGTATCCAGCATTAAATTAAGAACAAACGACTTTTTCTTTTCCTTCCCTCCCTCCCTCTCTCTTTCTTGTCCTTCCTTCCTTCCTTTCTCTTTCTCTTTCGTTCTTTTTCTTTCATTCTCCCTCTTTCTTTTTCATTCTCTTTCTTTCTTTTTCCCTCCCTCCCTCCCTCCCTTCCCTCCCTCCCTCCCTCCCTCCCTCCCTCCCTCCCTCCCTCCCTCCCTCCCTCCCTCCCTCCTTCCTTCCTTCCTTCCTTCCTTCCTTCCTTCCTTCCTTCCTTCCTTCCTTCCTTCCTTCCTCTCTCTGTGTCTTTCTCCTCTCCTTTGGCAGGTCTTGCTCTGTCCCCTAGGCTGGAGTGCAATGACAATCACAGCTCACTGCAACTTTGATCTCCTGTGTTCCAATGATCCTCCTACCTCAGCCTCCTTCCTAGCTGGGACTATAGGCATGTGTCAGCACACTCAGCTAATTTTTAAATTTTTTGAAGAGACAGGGTCTCTCTATGTTGTCCAGCTTGTTTCGAACTCCTGGACTCAAATGATCCTCCTGTCTCAGCCTCCCAGAGTGCTGGGAATACAGCTATGAGCCACGATGCCCACTACAAATGACTTTTTCAAAGCAATTTTTCAAAAAAGTGTGATTCCAAATGTGTATTCTTTAGAAAACAGTCAACGATTGTGCGTGCTTGTCAGGAAGAGACCACGTATAGAATGTTTCTTGCTCTGTTTGCTTTGGTGAAATCCTTGACCAATGAGGTCATCCATTGCATGATATTAACATACAGAAGACTTTTTGAGGATTTACCACCAATTTTCAGGTGAATTCTCAAAAAATCTGCATACCACATATCTTTCCTTTCTATGTGAAATGGTTTTCATTAACTCCATTTGGTAGTATATAAATAATACCTTTAGGTTAATATATTTTACTCTTCAACCCATACCAGAGGCAGCCTAGAAATGATAATTTATTCCCCAAATGCACATAAAGTTTAATGATACATGCTGGGTAAGTGTCTTCTTGTTAAACACACACACACACACACACACACACACAGATTTTATGTATTATTTTTCCTTCATGATTATGCTTTAGAAAAGCCTTTGCATCCCACTTTGCAGAACTAATAAGTGCTTGAGCACAGGGTTTCCTAGGAGGGAGGGAGCTTGCGTCAAAAGATGATTTAGTTAAAAATTGCTGCTGAAACTTCCTTTTGGGGAAAAAATAAGTGCTTGGCTCATGCCCTTTCTCTACTTGGTCTCTGAGGAGAGGGTAAGCTGCCTAACACAGGTCTGCTGTGAATACATCTGTGAGGATGAGGACGGGCTTTTCATCCAACAGAATAAACTGGAAAGCTGGAAAGGGACATCTCTCCTCTTCCTCGGCTGCCCTGCCTCCCCAGGACTATGTTACCTCCCCACCCATCCACACTTCACCACCCTTCTTCCTTTGCCTTGGGCTGTGCTCCTGTGGGGCACAGACAATGTGCAGTTGCTGGTAAGCTGATTATTAATAATGGACATTGTAATTGCTGTGAATTGATAACATCTTAAAAATAAGATGGCTGGTCGTGAT